GGGGACGTCTCCACCCCGGACAGGCTGGGCTCTGCGTCTCCCTTTCCCGCCCTCCTCTTCCCCACGGTGTTGTGTGTTCTCCTGATCCGGTGTGTTTGTTTGTTTGTTTTTATCAAGGAGGGGTTTTCACTGGCCCTCCTTTTCAGTGTCTGCCCCAACAACAGACCCCGCGGTGGCCGGATGGTTCACCGGCCTCTCCGCTTAGAGGTGCCCACTGCTGGCGCTGAAGTTCTAGAGAAGGGACCACCAGACCGATCGGATCTCTAGCCCTGCCAGCCCCCAGTGTAGTCAGGCAGGGTTGTTCCTTTCCCTTAGGCCGGGCCACTCCCTGCGCCTAGGATCTTCCTTACTCCTTGCTGGTTACGGGTGTTCCTGCCCCATCATCTATGACTTTTCCTAAAAAATCTCTCCAAACCCAGGCCCGGGAGGCCAGGGAAGGAAGGAATGAAGTCACCCAACAGGAAGAACCATCACCTTGGCATAGCCCAGTTCAAAGTAATGATCGTCTAGTCGTAGCAAGCGGGAGTAACATCTAATTAGTGTTCGTTATTCCAACTTGTTGAGCAAGGAACTTTTTTTTTTTTAAATTTTAACCTAACAGCACTTTGAGGAGTCAAACAATTCCTTGTATAAAATGTAAACATCCAAATCAGTAACGGAGATGGTGCCTAGCCGCAGGCACTTAGAAGAGATAGATAAAAAATATAACAAAGAAAAAAAAGTTTTTAAAATTAGTTCAATTTTAAGGTTGGCAGCTTGTAATTCACGCTTAACATGGTAGACTTTTAAGAACTGAGTGTGTTTAAAATATCTGGCACACTGATACGAAAACAGGTACCAAATTGTGTTGTATAAACAACTTTTGGTAATGCACGGTTGTGTTGTATAAACAACTTTTGGTTATGCACGGTGCTTTACAGTCAGCATTTAGGAGAAAAAAGAGATAAATGATAATGGCAGTCTTGATAGCTCGAAACTAAGCTAGAGGGTGAGTGTAGAGAGAAAGTTTCTGTCCTGTGCTGTTAATTTGAGGTAACAGCAGGCTGTCTAGACAGAGTGTAAGATAAAGACAGAAACTGAACGGGTGGAAAAAGATGTAAGTTGGCAAAATAGTTCTCAGAAATTTTGTATAGCTAGAAACAACCAAAAGACAAAATATTTGCCATTTGTTGAATGAAACATACTTGAAAAGGAATCTTTCAATTAATTTAACAAAAGATGAATCTGAAAAAATGTTGAAGCTAAGAGGTAGAAGAATAAAAAAGTTTTGTTGGGTTAGAGATATAATTAGGTGAGGATAAGAAAGCTAAACATAAGAACCTTTAATTTACCCCAAAACTGTGGTAAATAGAACGGAACTACTACTATTTCTTAAACATTTTCACTGTGCCAGGCATTATTCTTTACATATATTAAACTTCATGAGAATATCAGTATTTCACTGACATTGAAATTGACAGAGCTATTAGAATGACTGCATATAGTCAAAATTGGAAATGAGGTCCACACACTGATGCGTGGATAAGGCATGATGCAGCATGGATAAGACAATAAAAAGAAATGAAATATTGGCATATTTTACATCATCACTGAGTCTTAAAAACATGCAAAGTAAAACCCCAGTCACATTGTATGACTCCATTTATATGAGATGTCCAGAGTAAGCAAATATGTAGAGACAAAGTGTGTTAAGTGAATGCCTTTCTGGAGAGGGAGGGAGACTGGAGGAATGGAATCTCTTTTCAGAGTAATGAGGTCGAAACCAGTGTGGTAACATGGGGATGGATGTATGGTTTCATGAAAATAGTAGGAAAATAAAACAGTTGTATTCTTCAGATAAATTGAATAGAATGCAAATTATATCTTGATAAGGCTATTAAAGCAAACCCTGTCAACATCTATTAAATCTAGATCTAGGGTTTACACCTAGGTCTTTTTGACTACAATGCTAACGTTTGATTTGTAATATGTAAAGTTTAGTTCAGGGTCTTAAACATTAGACTCTTAACTGTTCTCCTATCTGGCTTCCTTTTTCTTGTTCAGTCTACACAGACAATAGCTGTCAGAAAAGTTTTCCTTTAATAGTACCATTGTATCATTGTGTGGTTCTCTTGCTTAAAGACCAGCAGTTGCCTATAGTTCATTTCAAAAAGTCTCTCTCTCTTCCCCTCCCCCCCTCCTCTCTCCTCTCTTTTGCCAGTCTTGGGGCTAGCACTTCAGCCACGCCTTTAGCTACTCAGCTGAGATCTGAGGATCATGGTTTGAAGCCAGGTGGGGCAGAAAAGTCCCCATGAGACACATCTCCAGTTAACCACTCAAAAACTGAAGTGGTGCTGTGGCTCAATGTGGTAGAGCACTAGTGATCAAAAGAGTTCAGGGACAGCTCCCAGACCCTGAGTTCAAGCCCCATGACTGACAAAAAACAAACCAGAGTCTCACAGACTTTCCTGTCTAAGCTGGCTTTGAACTTCGATCTTCTGATCTCATCCTCCTGATTAGCTAGGATTACAGGTGTAAGCAAGTCTCTTTTGAAGACCTTTAACCTAGCCCCAATCTGCCTTGCTATTCTTACCTACTTTCACTTGTATTATCTGGATTTTTTCCCCATGGTCCTTACTGTTTACTCATGATCTCTTTTAACTCCATATCTTATCTTGATGACTTGGTCCTCTGTCTAAAATGCTACCCTTTCCCTAATTTCTAGTGGTCCCCAAATAGGCTTCCATCTCCATAATGGCTCCTCATTTTCACTCAGCTTCTTAATGTTTATTTTCCCTTCTTGAATGCCACTCTGATACCTTGATAAGATAGGTATACTTGTTTCTTGCAGGAGTTTAACAGTAGTGCTTGTGTGCTGTTCCTAGATCTTGAACTTGGTGCCAAGGTGCCTGTCTTTGAGCTCTTTTGCTCAAGGCCATTTGAACCACATCCCTGTCTGATCTTTTGTGCCTTAATTGGAAATGAAAGCCTACCAGACCTTCCTGCCCACGCTGGCTTCAAACTGCAGTCCTTGTATCTTGGCCTTCTGAATAGCTAGGATTACACCCTGGAACAGTACATTTAGAAAAATAATTTACTCTGTTTTACTACCTATATCCCATTTATTAAATACTGAATTTCTATGGGAATATAGCAGCTCTCTTCAAGCTTACGTAACACTTAAGCTTAAGTAGGTAATAGAAAACAAGATAACAAATAAATGTGATTGTTTCAGTTTATTATATAGTGGGGAGACAGGCTATTGTAGGTAGGTAAATCGGAAGTTTATCTGATTAGGTGACATTTGAGCTGAGACCTAAAACATGATAAGGATTCAGGCTTAAAACTATCTTCAAACTCCTTCAAGGAAAATAAACATAACAAAACAGAACACCTTGTATTTCAAGTGTGAAAGTTTGTTTTTATAAAATGAATTTTTATATTTAAAAATTAGCGAAGATTTCTATGCTTATTTGCTTATTATGCTTAGATGCTTATTTTTTTTCTTGCTTTTGGGAAGTGGTAACAAAAATACCACAGGTTTTAAATGAAAAGTTTATGAAGTTTATTTTTTTTAAAGAGCCACATTAGAAAATGACAGTGATTAAGTCAATTATGAAGTAAAAATCAAACCATTGTTGATATTTTACCCTTATTCATGAGTTTTTATTCAGCAGTTTATTTTTCTCATCTATAAACAGTAGTTTAGTATAATATCTAATTATTATCTGTTAAATACTTTAGTGAGAATGCACATAGGTAAATTATAGATGTTGATTTGTGACAGTTCTTGGCATGTTGAATTGCAGGCTTTTTCCACTTTTCATATTTTTCTCCAGGTCTTTCCTTCTTGTGTTCTATCCAGTGACATTTTTTTTTTGGGTCCGGTCGTGGGGCCTGAACTCTGGGCCTGGGTGCTGTCCCTCAGCTCTTCAGCTCAAGGCTAGTGCTCTACCACTTAAGCTTTTTTCCGGCTTTTTTCTTTTTGCTTATGTGGTGCTGAGGAATCGAACCCAGGGCCTCAGGCATGCAAGGCAAGCGCTCTACCACTGAGCCACCTTCCCAGCCCCTCCAGTGATACTCTTAAATTCTTTTTAAATAGCAAACATTAACTCAACGTTTTTCATGCTCCTTCGAAAATCTCTGTGTGTGTGATACTAAGGTTTAATACAGGTTTGATACAGGGCCTCATGCTTGTTAGCTAGGCAGGCTCTCTATCACTTGAGCCATGGCCTCATTTTAAAACTTCAATGCTAATTAAAGTTAATTTTTTTTAACTTTGAAATAGAAAAAGATCGCAATAGCAGATGCAAGTATAAAATAAAAGTCAACTTCTTCCTGACCCAAACCCTAAGTCTTTCTCTCCAGAAACAACTACTTTTAGGTCTTTAAATAAATCCTTCTTAAAGTTTTCTGAAAATAAAAGCTTGGGTAGAGAAACATACTTTTGTTTTTGTTGTAATCAGCTATCTTTATGGGGTTTTTTTTTCTAGTCACTTCCCCTTTTAAGCTCACTTTGTTGAGCAGTTAAAAATTTTTTTTTAGAAAATCTTTACACAGTCATTCATTTAAATCATTGTTTATTGAGTTACTGCCCTGTTCTTTGGCCTCTTGAAATTCACAATAAAATGGGAGAGACT